TGCCGATGCAGGGGACATGGGTTCGAGCCCTGGTCCAGGAAGATCCCACATGCCGCGGAGCAACTAAGCTCGTGAGCCACAACTACTGAGCCTGTTCTCTAGAGCCTGTGAGCCACAACTCCTCAGCCCATGTGCCGCAACTGCTGAAGCCTGTGTGCCTATAGCCTATGCTCTACAACAAGAGAAGCCACTGCAATGAGAAGCCCGTTCACCACAACGAAGAGTAGCCCCCGCTCACCGCAACTAGAGAAAGCCCGTGCGCAGCAGCGAAGACCCAACGCAGCCAAAAATAATGAATAAATATATACATACATCTTAAAAAAAACAACTGTGTTAAAGTATACATTACATGCAATAAATTGCACCCATTTTAGGTATGTAGTTTAGTGAATTTTAACACATATACATACCCATGTAACCACTACCACAGTTAGCACCCCAAAATGTCCCCATGTGACACTTTACAATCCATTCTTCCCCTCCATCAGGTCCCAGGCAACCACTGGTACTCTTTCAGTAAGGAAAGATTCATTTTGCCAGTTCTAGAATTTCATATGAGTGGAGTCCTGTAATATACTCTTTTGTGTTTGTGTCTTTTGTGCAGCAGAGTGCATTTCTTTTTATTGCTGAATTGTATTCTTTTGGACGGATATACTTCAGTTTGTTTATCCACGCATCTGTTGATGGACATTTGACTGTTATCAGTAAAGCTTCAGTGCACACTTATGCTCAAGCCTTTGTGGCAGTACAGTTTTTTCTTGGCTGCACCGCACTGCATGTAGGATCTTGGTTCCCTGACCAGGGATTGGACCACTGCCCCCTGCAGTGCAAGTGTTGAGTCTTAACCGCTGGGCCCACCAGGGAATTCCCCTACAATTTTAAATAAAAGTAGTGATAGTACACTTTTGTCCTAGATGTTAAAGGAACCGCTGTTAATACTTCCTCAATTGACTGCAATCTTTGCTGTGATTTTCTGGTAGATACTCTTTATCAGATTAAGGAAATTCCCTTCAAATAGTAGTTTGATAAAAGTTTCAGAGGTTTTTGTTTCTTTGTTTTATAATCGTGAGTAGATGTAAATGTTGGATTTTTGGGAATTCTTTTGAGATGAGCACGAGTTTTTCTATTCTGCTAATGTGACGAATTATATCTATGGGTTTAGAAATGTAAAGCTACCCTTGCATTCCTGAGATAAACAAAGTTTTCTAATTTAAAACTTTTTGAATGTTTTGGCATAATCATGATATTCTCTTCTTAATATCTGTAGCATCTGAAATTATAGCTGCCTTTTTATTCCTTATATTGATTATTTGTGCCTTTTATTCTTTTTTTTATAAATTTATTTATTTACTTTTGGCTGCCTTTGTTTCTTTGTTGCTGTGCGTGGGCTTTCTCTAGTTGTGGCGAGCGGGGGGCCACTCTTCGTTGCACTGCGTGGGCTTCTTATTGCAGTGGCTTCTCTTGTTGTGGAGCATGAGCTCTAGGCACGAGGGCTTAAGTAGTTGTGGCACGCGGGCTCAATAGCTGTGGCTCGCAGGCTCTAGAGCGCAGGTTCAGCAGTTGTGGCGCACAGGCTTGGTTGCTCCGCAGCATGTGGGATCTTCCCGAACCAGGGCTCAAACCTGTTCCCCTGCATTGGCAGGCAGATTTTTAACTACTGCACCACCAGGGAAGCCCCTTTTATTCTTTTTGATCAACTTTTCTGGAGGTTTAACAGTTCTATTATCCTTTATAAAGAACCAACTTTGCTTTTGTTAATTCTGTTTTATATTAATCTTTCATTTCATTAATTTCTCTTCTTTATTATAGCATTCATTTTACATTCTTTGAGCTTATTTTGCCTCAAAATTGATTGTTTCCTTTTCTAATACATACATCTAAACCTATAAATTTCTCTCAATGTACTATTTGATTTATATCCTAGAAGTTTGTTTCATTAAATATTTTTCATCAAGGTAGTGTATTTAGATAGTTTTAAAAGTCATGTAGTTTTACAAGGATTATCATGGAAAAACAGCAAAATGGAAGTCCTTCATTTCATGATTATTTCTGTAGATGCTGAAAAGACTTCCTCCAAAATTCAATGCTTGTTCCTTATTTGAAAATAAATACTTGAGAAGATAGGAATGGATGGATGCTTTTTTTTTTTTAAATTGTGGTAAAATACACATAACATATTTACCATCGTAACCATTTTTAAGTGTATGATTCACTGGTATTTGAGTACAGGCATATCGTTGTGCAACCATCGCCGCCATGCATCTTGCAAAACTGTAACTTCATACTCCTTAAAGAAGAACTCCCCATTTCACCCTTCCCCAGGCCCTTGGCAATCACCATTCTACTTTCTGTCTTTATGATTTTTGACTACTCAAGGTACCTCTTGTAAGTGGAATCATACAGTATTTATCTTTTCGAGACTGACTTATTTCACTTAACCTGTATCTTCAAGGTTCATCCATATTGTAGGATATTTCGGAATTTCAGTCCTTTTTAAGGCTGAATAATATTCCATTGTATTGGGACTTCCCTGGCGGTCCAGTGGTTAAGACTCTGCACTCCCAATGCAGGGGGTGTGGATTCGATTCCTGGTCGGGGAACCGAGATCCCACATGCTGCACGGCGCAGCCAAAAAATTAAAAAAAAAAAAATTTCCATTGTATATATCTACCACATTTTGCTTAACCACTCATCTGTCAGTGGTTACTTGGTTTGCTTCCATGTTTTAACTATTGTGAATAACGCTACTGTGACCATGGATGTGCAGATATCTTTTTGAAACCTTGCTTTCAATTCTGAGTATATACCCAGAAGCAGAATTGCTGGATCATGTGATAATTCTATCTTGAATTTTTTGAGGAACCGCCATACTGTTTTCCAAGAGGCTGTACCATTTTTACATTTCCACCAACAGTACACAGGGTTCCAATTTCTCCCATTCTCATCAACACTTGTTATTTTCAGTTGTTTTGACAGTAGCCTACCTAATGGGTATAAAAGGTGGTTATCTCGTTGTAGTTTTGATTTGCATTTCCCTAATTAGTGATGTTGAACACCTTTTCATGAATACTCTTTTACTTGAAAGAATAACTCAGAGGCAGGGATTTCCCTGGTGGTACAGTGGTTAGGAATCTGCCTACCAGGGCAGGGGACACAGGTTTGATCCCTGGTCTGGGAAGATCCCACATGCCATGGAGCAACTAAGCCCGTGTGCCACAACTACTGAGCCTGCTCTCTAGAGCCCACGAGCTACAACTACTGAGCCCACACACCTGGAGCCTGTTCTCTGCAACAAGAGAAGCCACTGGAATGAGAAGCCCGCGCACCACAGCGAAGAGTGGCACCCCTCTCAACAGAACTAGAGAAAGCCAGTGTGCAGCAATGAAGACCCAACACAACCAAAAAAAGAAAAAGAAAAAAAAAAAAACTCAGGGGCAAACTGTTTGGTTTTTTCAGATGTGGATGTTTGGCAAGTAGATTTTCACAGATGAATGGAGTGACCCTGTCACTTCAAGAAAAACAACTGAAAGTGTATGTTATTGATGATAAAGTTCTGGCTTTTGAGCAAAAATTACAGTTTTGGAACATTTGATCTGCCTCTGTGAGCTTGAAAGCTTTCCTGTACTTAAAGACTTTTTGGTAAGATTGGTTGGTGATGATATTAAAGAATGTGATTCTTAAAATGCTATAGAATGAAGCATTCGAAAGATCTGCATAAATTAGTAAGGTAATATTTTCCAAATAAATAATGCATGATATTATAAAGTATGCCTGTGTAAAATATACATCCAACCTACAGTGTAGATTAATAGATTTTAATGTAACAGTACAGAAAATTTCTTGTTGTGGTTTCAGATTCTACATTGCAGCCAGAGATTTGTTTGCGTTTGCTTTTAATATTCATTGGCCCATCATTTTATTTTTAGCTTTTCTGAGTCAGTTTAGGTTTGTTTCTTTAATAGTGCATATAGTTGGGTTTTGCTCTGTGAGCCAAGCCAGAAATCCATGTTTTTCTTTTGCTAAGTGAATTAATCCGTTCACATTTATTGAAATGACAGAATGTTTGATTTATAGTTACTATGTATATTATGTTATCTCTGTGATGGTTTTTCTTTTTTTTTGCTCTTCGTTTTACTTTCTTCATCTAATTTGTATTCTTCTTCTTCTTCCACTTTTGTCCATTTACCCTTATTAAGTTTCCATTCAAATCTGGTCTGTATTATAGTCTTCATTTTTGATGTGATTACTGTTTCTTCTGTCATTTCTGGGGTCAGTCAACTCTTGTTTCATTACTTTTTTTTTAATCTTTATTGGAGTATAATTGCTTTACAATGGTGTGTTAGTTTCTGTTTTATAACAAAGTGAATCAGCTATACATGTACATATATCCCCATATCTCCTCCCTCTTGCGTCTCCCTCCCTCCCACCCTCCCTATCCCACCCCTCCAGGCGGTCGCAAAGCACCGAGCTGATCTTCCTGTGCTATGTGGCTGCTTCCCACTAGCTAGCTATTTTATATTTGGTAGTGTATATATGTCCATGCCAGTCTCTCACTTCATCCCAGCTTACCCTCCCCCCTCCCCGTGTCCTCAAGTCCATTCTCTATGTATGTCTGCGTCTTTATTCCTGTCCTGATGCTAGGTTCTTCAGAACCTTTTTTTTTTTTTTTAGATTGCATATATATGTGTTAGCGTATGGTATTTGTTTTTCTCTTTCTGACTTCCACAGACCCTAGGTCCATCCACCTCACTACAAATAACTCAATTTCGTTCTTTTTTTATGGCCACTTCCATTTTTTTGGTTCAGTTTTGGACTTAGTTTTTGAATTGCAATTCAAGTTGTTTGTTTTTTTTTTCCATATACCTAAACTGGGATATTTAATTCAGCTTGGATTTTTGTGTTAGTTTTCTTCCGTGCATGTTGTTGTTGGTGGAGTCGGTAGCTAAGTTGGTAAAATCTTTACCAGCTCATGTGTTTTTGTTTTCTCTTTTCTTCTGTAGCTTTGTATGGATGAAGAGTGCTTGTGTCTGCCTGTTGAAGACTATTCAAGACTTGATTTGGAGTGGTTTACAAGATTCCTCACTTAAAGCGCCCTCTTGTGTCATTACAGTGATGTGCACCTCTTCAGTGGGTGGCGCTGAGGGATGAATGTAGTGTCTAAGTGAAGGGTTGGTCTTCACCAGGATGGTTCCAGCCATTGAAACAGGGGAGGAGCATATGTGACAGAGATGCTGGCTGGTGGGTAAACGTTGTGGCCGTATATTGCAGAAGTCTCTTCTGATTGATTGCGTTTTCTCAATAAAATAGGAAGAAGGTTAGGCTGAGTGAGGATGGAAGAGAGAAAACTACTATGTTCCACTGGGAAGACATTGGGATAATAGACAATGAATATACAGCTAGATCTTTTCATGTCATTAAATACATTCACAACGTTTTTATTGTTTGCTCGTAGTTCTGTTTTATGGCTTAAATTATGGTTCTGTGATTTTTTAAAACCAGTTTCCTATTGGTGAACGAAAAAGTTGTTTCCGATTTCCTACTGTTATAAATAAAACGGATCAGTGTCTCTTGCTATACCATTCCTAAACCTGGAGTTCTTAAATTTTTTGTTGTTAAAATATAAGAATGGTTATCTTTTTCATTGGTTCATAAACTGTAGTCAGATTATACACTTGCAGAACATAAATTTTAGGAGTGTGGTGATATTTTTAATATAATATTGCAATACAAAAATTTCCAAGCATGAATAATAAGATTCTAAATATGTACTTTTATATAGTGGTACTGATTATTATTAGAAAAATGAAATTGAAACTATTATCATAATATTGTTTTATTGCTGGGAAAAATAATAGCATCACTAACTTGCTGTATACATTAGAGTCCACCAAAGTTAGTGACGCTTCTTACCAAAGTCTTTTTTGAAAATATGAGTCAGAATTATTTTGGTTGTAACCTAATCCCACAAAAGCAAGAAAGGGAATTGCTTATACTCAAGCAAAGGTATATCAGACAAGACCTGGGAAAGTAAGAAACAACGATGGATCCTGGGCCCTTAGCACCAGGAGTATGTGAGCTGCAAGTGCGTCACCTCTCAGCGCCCATTGCAGTCTTCCACGTTCACTCCATGGCTGTGCTAGGAAGGAGGGAAAGATAATGCACTAGAATCGTCCAGAGGAAGTCACAGGGGAGAGGGGCTGAGTTGATGCTTTAAGAGGGTTCATTACAAGAAGCTTCAATAATTTAATGAAATTGTGCAAGGGAGTGGTTATATTACCTGTAGAATTGATACTTCATATCTTCTTTAAAGATCACATACAGTGTAAAGGAATTCAGGATCTTGTCATAGGGCACAGTTGTAGAAGGTACATTTTATGGCCAATCTGTACATGAGGTAACATTGGCTGACATAAAGTTTATGTATGAGAAAACAGTAATTCTTATATTCCAAGAGGCAGTACCCATCTCACCTGTAAACTTAAAAGACCAAGCAGAGATTTGAGGGAGTGAGAATCAGAGAAGTTTAAATAGCTACAACTATCATTATTTTGAAGAGGCAAACATCACTGTGTCAGTGAAATCTCTTAACTTGTGTTAAATCAAGTTGAGGGAGAGACGTTTTCCCTCAGATGCGCCCTGTGCACCTAAAGCAGCCATCAGGCTGTGGGTCTCTAGTCTGTGGGTTATTACAGCCCTTTCTAACTGGACTCCAGCCTCCAATTTCCACTTTCTTCTCTACAATTCTCTAAGGAGAGCTTTTCCTCAGAGCAGATTTCCCAATGTACTGCTTCAGTCATGCCTCCACTGTGTTGTACCTTGAATCAGGGTCTGTTTGTCTGCCTGGTTGTAAGTGCTCTGAAGTCTGGCCATCTCGGCCATACAAGGCTTTAGTGCCCATTGGCCTCTGCTCCTCTCTGCTCCCTTGGGTTTCCTCTTATGAAGTAAATCTCACTGACCCTTGATGCAGCTCCAAGCAAGTTAATACCATAGGTAAAAAAAGTCTGAACCAGAGGAAATATAAGCAAGAAAGTTGTAATGGGGAAAGCTGTACATGGATTTACATGTCATTTGGTCAGCATGGTTATCATGGCTGTATTAAATTTATCTCTGATCTTTTTAAAAATTCTTTTGGCTGCACTGCGTGGCATGCAGGATCTTAGTTCCCCGACCAGGGATTGAACCCATGCTCCCTGCAGTGGAGGCATGGAGTCTTAACCACTGGACCACCAGGGAAGCCCTATCTCTGATCTCTTTTGGAGCCAAAACAAAAAGGATGAAGTGGTTATCTATTTACCTCTCATTTTCAGAAAAGAGGGAGGGTGCAAAGCCTAACTCTTCTAATAATACTTCATAAAAATGGTTCTTACGTAGGTCTTCATTATGGAAATCACTGAGTAGAATGGAGAGAATTCTTATTTCTAAGATTCTTTGTGACAGGTTCATATAACTTTTTTACAGTCAGTTACTGAAAGCCACGTGACAGCAAAACTCAGTTTTTGTCATTTGGTAAGAGAATATAAGTCACGTATGTAGTCTTCCAGTGTGTTAACTTGATCTAGTTGTAGAATGTCAGGAATTCAGGCGCAGAGGTATTGAATGACCTGCTCCCTGTCTTAATAGGATTCCTGACTTCCAGCACAGGTACCTCAGTTCACTGACTAGTTTTAATAAACATAACCATTGAGGGGTTAAAAAAATACTGATGCCTGGGGCCCACTCCCAGAAATTGTGATTTTGGGGAGTTTGGGGGGAAGCCTGGGATGTGGACATGAGATTTTTCAGTAGTTTCCAGATGATCCTACATACAGCCATTGAAAACCACTGGTCTCAACAACTAATGGAAGTGCCATTCTTGCCAGTAATTGGCTTCAGCTTTATTTGTTGTTTGTTTGTTTGTTTGTTTTTTGGCTGTATTGGGTCTTCGTTGCTGTGCCCGGGCTTTCTCTCTAATTGTGGTGAGTGGGTACTACTCTTTGTTGCAGTGCGTGGGCTTCTCGTTGTCGTGTGCGGGCTCCAGAGCGCAGGCTCAGTAGTTGTAGTGCACGGGCTTAGTTGCTCCGCGACATGTGGGATCTTTCCGGACCAGGGCTCGAACCCGTGTTCCCTGCATTGGCAGGCGGATTCTTAACCACTGCGCCACCAGGGAAGCCCCGGTTTAAGCTTTAAATACGAATTCATGTCCTCTGGTGTGCTTCTGGAAAAGCTAACATCTCTTGAGATAGACGGGAAGAGGTTAGACGTTGCCATGTCTAAATAGACTCCCAGAACTGATGCAGCTGTCTTAGGGACCTCAAGGGGAGCCAGCTAAGCAGCTGAAGGTGACAGAGAAAAGAGATGGGAAGAAGCTGGGTCCGTGAGAACAACTGAACCATGGAATTCTCCACTCTTAGAGAGGAGATAGCCAACCTTCAGATTTCATGTTATGGCACATGAAATCATATATTCTCCTTACTGTTTAAGCCATTTTGATTTGGACTTTATATTACTTGCAGCCAAAGGCAGGCTAACACATGTGAGCCAAGGATAAGCTGCTTTTGTCCATCCGAAGGCCATGGGTCCCCACTCACCGCCCTCTTCACCGGAGGCTGTATTCACCGTCTGGGCTCCTGTAGGCAGCACACAGTAAGAAACGAGTGTATTTATTCTTGTGGTCGACACCTCTGAAATTGGGATGTACTTTACAGTTGATAGAATATCATATTTTCATTGGCAGGTTATTTTTTCTTATTGGTACATTAAAAATGGTGGCTCTTATTAAGTTACTGACATTTAGATTTGGTTGAATGTAATTTTGAAATGAAATTACATATGTATATAGGGAAAAATTTACTGTGAAATAAAATTTGTTATGGGATTTATTTTGGATTAATGAATTATGAAAACATAAAAAGGTTTTTAATGAAAACAAGTGATTCCCTGTATCCTCCCTTTTTCCCACCCCCTTTGTGGGAAGTAGAATTCTAAGACGGCTCCCAAGATTCCTCGTCCCCAGTGAACACAGCCTGTATAACGTGCTGGGTGTGAGCATTACTGTGAGTAGGATGGACTTCACTCCCATGGTTAACGTACATTATATGCCAGAGATGAAGTGGTTTTTACCTTTGGTGTAACTAAGATCTCAAATTAGTTGATTCTGAGTTAATCAAAAGGGAGATGATCCCAGGTGGAGCCTAACTAATCAAATGAATCCTTGGAAGAGACTGGGCTCTTCCTGAAGTCAAAGATTAGAAGCGTCAGATTCCCCTACTAGCCTTGAAGTAAGCTGCCCTGTTTCGAGAGGGCCGTGTATCCAGAACTGTATCCAGAACGACAGGGAAGAAACGGGAGCCTCAGTCTTAAAACCACAAATTACTGAATCCTGCCGACAGCTTTAAGAACTTGGAAGAGGTGCTCCAGGCTTGTTTTGTATGTTCCTACCTTGGCCCTTGAATGGGCCATTTCTCTAAGGAGCCCAGATTCCTTTTAATTGAGAAGACAGTCCCCAACTTAAAATGGTTCCACTTAGTGATTTTCACACACGATGGTGTGAAAGTGATGTGCATTCAGTAGAAAGCACGCTTGGGTTTTTGAGTTACGATCTTTTCCCTGGGCTAAGTGGTATGTGGTAGAATGCGCTCTCATGATGGTCAGCCCTGCAACGTAAGAGTAAACAACCGAGAACTTAACGACCATTCTGTACCCAGACAACCTCCTGTTTTTCACTTTCAGTACAGTATTCAATACATTCCATGAGATAGTCAACACTTGATTATAGATTAGGCTTTACGTTAGATGATTTTGCCCAACTAACTATAGGCTAATGTAAATGTTCTGAGACATTTCAGGTAAACTAGGCTAAGCTATGATGTTCAGTAGGTTAGGTGCAGTAAATGCATTTTCAGATTATGATATTTTCAACTTACGGTGGGTTTATTGAGACGGAACCCCATCGTAAGTCGAGGAAAACCTGTAGTAGTTACAATCCAAGATCTGGGTGCTGGATGTGCTTATTGCTTTTGAGTCTGGTCGGCTGAAGACAGGCCCTGAGAATGTAGTGTGAACCGTCATACAAATCAAAGACGATTTAGGGAGGAGTGGATTTGGCTTTTGAGAAGCTCCCCATCTCTTCTGCCTGGTCTGGGGGACTATGGGTCCTGGTTTTCAGTTGTCATTGTGGGGCTCTTGATTTTCAAGGCTGCTGTGGAGCTGGGGAGAGGAGAATGAGATTAGGGCAAGTCATTGTCACGAGGCGTTTTACCCAGATGCAGCTGTTTTTCATGAGTAAATTCTCCTTGAATTGTTGTAAGGCTTTAATTTCCAGAATTCTGAAAAAGTTGATTTTCACTGTTTTTGCCAGTGTTCTCTCATGCCTTTTATGGAGTAGTAGGTTTCAGAGATTCTTAGTCTGTCATTCCAGAAGTGGTAACAACAGTTCACTTTTTTTTTTTAAAGAAGATGTTGGGGGTAGGAGTTTATTAATTAATTAATTAATTTTTGCTGTGTTGGGTCTTCGTTTCTGTGCGAGGGCTTTCTCTAGTTGTGGCAAACGGGGGCCACTCACTATCGCGGCCTCTCTTGTTGCGGAGCACAGGCTCCGGACGCGCAGGCTCAGTAGTTGTGGCTCACGGGCCTAGTCGCTCCACGGCATGTGGGATCCTCCCAGACCAGGGCTCGAACCCGTGTCTCCTGCATTAGCAGGCAGATTCTCAACCACTGCGCCACCAGGGAAGCCCCAACAGTTCACTTTTAAGTATTTGACTTTTTTTTTTTCATGCCTGTACTTTAGAAATATTTATCTTTGATATGAAGACTGAATGTGTGTCATTTTCCTAGTCCTTTTATTTCAGAATCCCCCTTTCCTGCCTGGCGGTCCAGGAACTCATCTTCCTGGCAGGATGCTCCTCATTCCTGAGTATTTAGGGCCTTCGTTCCTGCTCCAAATGTTTAAACTGCCTTTTTCAGGGGTTCCACAGAAGTGGCCTTATTTACCGTTCACATAAGTCTTAAATAAATACGAGTTTTGTATCCCAGCTGTATCCTGTGCAAAAATATTTCCAATTTATTTGCCTGGATGTGTTGCTTGGCAGGTAAATTTGTTACATAATAATATAAACTGGACTTTAATCTTGGACTTCCTGAACAGATTTGTGATTCAGCCCATATCTGCTGACACACCAGCTCTTTCAGCCTTCTGTGTGCCTGAGAACTGCAAGCCAACTTCAACTTCCTCGTGGAGCTGAGCTCAGTTAGGTGAACCCGGAATCAACAGAAATGCTCCTTATTTCAGCCAGAGGCACATAAAACAGTCATTTCAGTCCATGAAGAAGGAAAACCTGGTCCCAGTGAATTCCTGATTGTCTCGGGGGCTGAATGGCTGTCCTTGTGCAGCTGTGAAGGGTTCTATGTTCTTCCCAAGCTGGGGAGGTGATGCGAGCCGCCCCTCAGGAAACAGAAGCCACCCAGCCTCCCGCAAGACCGCCAGCACCTCTGCAGGGCTGTGCTCTTGGGGATGCGCCTTCCAGCTAGATCTGCACCAGAAAAAAGAAGGGGGAAAATGACCTTGACTTTCGAATGGGATGTGCAGGCCCCTCCAGCTGGGGGTTCAGAAGGCAAGAGGGGAAGGAGGAGCAGATGGGGAGACACTGCTGCTGCCCTCGGCCTTTGTTCTGTCAAATTTCAGCAAGATACCGTGGCTGAGGTGCTGCAGCTGCATGAAGGACCATGGAACCGGCCTCCTGGGCCCACCCACGAATTAGCGAGGGTCTGTTCAGAACCGTCCAGGTCAAGTTGCAGGAGTGGGGAATGGGGGTTCAGGCCAGCAGTTGTGTCCGTGGCCTCAGGCCCTCACTGGCCTTCCCTCTTTCCTCTGAGGCCTCACCCACATTTTCTCTGTGTCGGGGGCAGCTTTAGCGAACTTAAGGCAAGGGCATGCCTCGCCCTCCACCCTCCGTTGGCTCAGCAGCCCTCACACCCCTTAAACTGCCCTCCCTGATATTCTGGAACTGTTATGGGGGTGTGCGGGGGTCTCCGTCTTGTTGAAGGCTGTATTCCCTGCAAGGATCAGGCACATAAAAGGCCCTCACTCACTAGTCGTTAATCATTAAAATCTTTCCCCCAACCACAGGAAGAAGGGCGGCCCTTTAGGTGAAAAGAATGCAAGTGATTTCTTAAAATGTTTAAGACTTGAAGTGGTAGAGGCCAAACCATGAAACAGCGCAGATGGGGATGATGGGTCCTTCTGCTCAAGTAAATCCCCAGACAGGCAGAAAGGAAGGAGGGTGGCTGACAGCAAGGTTCCCTTGTGTGTCAGCCCGGCGTGCACACACCTCCCTCTGTGTGACCTTCGCATGTGCGTGTGCACGGGTGAGGGGCCCTCCACGCTTGGCACGCTTCCTTCTCATTTCCACACTTGGGCCTCTTAACTAGTACCAGCCGCCAGCTACCTAGCACACGCCTCCCAGCTGGTCACCGCCTACCAGTGTGTGTGGATCTGGGGAGCAGGTGGATCCCTGGTTGCTCACGTTGGAGGTTGGTGCCCATCAGTCAGAGACCACCCGGCACCCCCTTAGGGTCCACAAAGCAGGTTTATAATTTGCTGCATCAAGACAGAGATTGCATTTCTGGGGACTGGGGGCAGCTCAACAGGAGGGAGTGAGGGAAAGATTGAGTCAGTCCTGGGATGGCCTTGGCAGGAGTGGGGCAGAATATGTCAAGTACAGAGTTGCTGGAAGAGCCGGTGGTCTTGTCCCTGTGAGTGAGCTGGTGTTAGGAGTTTACACTTAAGAGTTTGCGACGCTCATGCTCTGAATGGGTGCAGTTCTTGGGTGGTGTGAGTCCCAGAGCAGCCTGTTTTGAAAAGCTGTGGCTTCTGTTTCAATTTTCGGTTTCCCCCTAAGGTTGGCTGGCAGCCGAGCAGTTTTTCGCTCTTATCAAAGTGTGGCAAGTAAGAGATGGAGGGATGCTAGGAAATGA